ATCCAAAACACAGCACTGTACCAGCTACTAGGAAGAAAATTAACTCCATCCCAACCGAAACCAGGACAACCCCCATCTTCTCATCTGCCTAATAAAAGAAACGTGTGTGTGTGTGCTAGCAGGTGATGATGAAACGGTTAAACAGTCACATTTAAATTGCCACTGGTCCTCTATAACACAAAACATATGTAGTAAATTTCAGTTTGGGCTTTAAAAATAAAGCAGTGACCAATATTAAAAGATGTTTTTACTGTTAGAAATGCACAGAACTTGTAATACACAGAATACACAGGTTCATAACAAGTTGAAATTGCAGATATGTCTTCGTGTGCAGTTTGAAGTATAAGTTCCATCAGCGTGACCACGTTTCATGGTTAACTGAGGTGACTGACAGCAGACAAGGTAACCGTTTTCCAAAGGCAATTCAGACTTCTTCCTCGCAGTGTTGTGAGAGAGAGTGTGATCTGGAAACGGCCATGTCTGTGGACAGACCCATGTGGTTGCTAATACAGAGATGCCTAAACTTCCAAGGTAATGATCAGATTTCTTGTTTCTTGTCTGTGAGTGGATAGAGAAGAACAGCCCTCCATTAGTTTGTAGCCAAAATGATAAAGGCTGGAAACACTTGAATTCAACATCAATTTTTTTTTTTGGAAATAAATGGATGGCAAGATATACCAGTTGATTTCTAGTCAACACCATGAGCTTTAGACAGTTCATGTACTGCTTTTCACTGAAGGTAGCTGTAGGGAGTAAATACTGCAGAACTGGGGCAGCAGTGACCACTTTTAGTGATTTGTAAGAACAGTAACACTTTGATGGTTCATTTTGCACTACAAAACAGTTTGATTCTTCACCATGATGCTGGTCACAAATTAAAGAGCACAGCTGTGTGGAATCATCTATATGACACATTTCAGTGAGTACTGAAAGCAGTGAAGACTGGTTTCCCATGGAGGTGTCTTATGGTGATAGACTTCTTTTTTTTTTAAACTTCATTAGACCAAAATAGAAAATAAAGGCAGGAGAGACACCTTGACTGAGGAACGTATTCTTTGGTGGCTAATAAGCTCTGATTAAGATTTTATTGCTTTAGAGCATTTGTAGCATCCTCCTCCTGTGTGGTTTCTCTGTCTAATAAAAGATGAGCTCACACTGCAGGCTTTTTCCTCAACAGGGAAATAATAAGGTATCTCATAGCTACATAACTGCCTATTCTCACAAAATTAGCTGGAAGTGGATGTGTTTGAGACCTTGTTCCCATTGCTAAAGCATATGGAGAAAACAGGTTGTCAATATTAGTATGCTCTTAGCTACAAAGAAGTGGGATACCCAGGCAAAGAACTAAAAGATGCAAGGTCTCATACTGAAGTGTTCTCAAGGACAATCTGATTGGCAGCTTTTTCTTCTCCTGTGTAATGAGTTTTCTGTAATGTAGCTAAATCTTTCCTGTATAGGTATTTTCTTGAGGATTATTCCAAGGCAGTCAAAATGGAAACAGTCACGAGCCTCTCTTTTGCATTCTGCGTGCCAGTCATATTTGACTTGGTCTTCTGTAACAAAACCCTAGTTAGTCTGCACGTGCTTGTAAAACAGCAGAGATGCTGCTGTATTTGAAGTCATCCTAAGCAAAGAGTGTATGTAGTTGTGTACCCAAAGAGCAGGGGGTTACACTCCAACTAAACATCCTTTCACCAAGGAGGGAATAAAATTCTCTGGGAGCGATGGCTGTGCGAGCTGTTTTGACGAGTTGGACAGGAGCTGCCCGACATGGGCGTGTTGTTGCCTTTTCCCTCTGATGCTGAATCTCCACCAGGTGCGGACGGCCTGCAGGAGATGTGGTTTTGTGGATCTTTCTCTCAGTAGCATAGCAACTGCCATTGCTTCTCACTGCTCGGTCCTCTCTGCTTGGCTTCCTCAGCTGTGCTGGATCAGGAACTGAACCAACTTTAAAAACAGCCCTGCAAAACAGGAGAAGTTGTAGGAGGATTTATTTTTAACTGGGGTCTCTCTGTTCTTTGAACCAGCTCTCTGCGTGGTCCTCAGGACTGGCATAACTAGGGAGTGCTTGGAGCAGGGGTGTGGGACAAGAAATGGGGAAGAGGAAGAGATGGGAGGAGAGTTGGGAGAAAGGTCTGCTGGTTCCTGGCTTCAGGATTCAAGCACAAATTCAGGGGCAGCCCTGTGAATGCTTTCAGCCCAAATGCTGATGGAGTACAGCTTCCATAATGATCTGCAATCAGAGGAGTAATCAGTAATTAGTACTAAAGTCCTTTCAGTTTCACTCTATTGACCAGAGGAGGGAAAAGGGAAAAGTCAGATTTAAGCAAGGGGATGGAATTCTCTTTGAAGTTTTTGTGCTCCGATGCCGCCTCTAATAATTCAAGGAGCCGGCCTGCAGCATCTTCAGCGTAGCACAGTGGCACGCGCAGGCCAGTGAGTGTTGTGCTTCTATGACAACAGCCCCACGTTCTGTGCAAGTATCATTTGATCTTATTTTCTGCATTGTGCTTCTAACAAAGCTGCTCTAGTGGGCCACATTCTGTAATTGCTTTTTTAACTGAGATCTGAAAGTCGCATTTGTAGCCAGGTACACTTTTGATTGTAGCAATCTAGGGGAGTTAATAGAAGCAGCAGTGTTTCATTTAAAAGATCAGCTTGTAGTATGTGGACGGATTCTGTGAAGGCAGGGGTAGAAAGAAGGTATTGATTCCTGTATGATTAATGGAATACTTCTTTGTTAAAGGTCTGCCTCTGAATCTTTAAATGACCAGGCTTCAAGTGATGAGGGCATCTCACTTTTTTCAAGCCTCTGTGAGTGGGATGGAGAAGTAGAGATTTTTAATTTTTTTTTTTCCTTCTTTAGTAAGTGCACATGTGTTCTCAGGGGCATTTGTGGAAGTTGTGTATGTGTATGAGAAAGATAAATTACTCAAATAGAGAACTTCTTACTGTCTTCCAGCTTGGTGATGGTACAAATCAACAAATTGTCTGGATTCATAATTTTTGCAGCTGAGATTTCTAACATTTGAACTGAGGCAGTGAGTGCATTGGCCTGAGTGTGTGTGTGTAGGTCAGTTGGATGTTGAATTCTTCATTTCAGAAACTCCTGTTAAGAACTACAAGGCATGAGTAGAAGAGTCCTTTTCTGATACACTGCTGAGAAGAAAATTTGTACTTGGGTTTTCTGGAGTGCTTGTAAAGGACTGTGGTCTTACTGAATAGCGGCTCAGTTCAGAAGAGCGTGTATCAGAATTGTGTTGTATCCTACAGAGAATCACTTGTGGGAAGATTTTACTGTGTTTAGTGCAGCTATTGACTATTAAGCTATGGAGAAAGTTCTTCAGAAACTGTCCTTGTTAATGCAATCTGTGAAGGATATGTCTGCTGCACCAGCCCTTTTCTGTGTGAGAAAGTTGCATGTGTTTAGTTGGAGATAAACCATCATGCGTATTTTACTGAAGTTTAAACTGGGTTGGTTTTGGTTTGTTTCCCCTCTGTTGGGAATTTAAGTTAAATTGTCATCCCAATTTGAATTGCCTTTGGACAGCGTTTTGGTTTATAGCTGTTTTACTACAGTGAGTTTTGAACTATTTGTTTTGTTTTGTTTTTTTCAGTGAGTGAGTGAAGTCCTGTGTGCGGGTGAGACTTGCTAAGAAGGAAAGTATTTGAGCACATGGTAAGAGTAGACATTGGTGGGAGTTTTGTTCCCAAAGATGCCCACGAATCTGAGTTGAGAGGAAAATTAACTTATTTCTTTGGATGCCGGGGCAAGAAGAGGCTGGTCTCCACTCAGTGCTTTCTGACACTGCACACAAGTAGCACATGTCCTAGTTTGAACAAGTAGCTGCTAATCAGACCTGTGCTGTCATTGCCCCAGTTTGCACAATCCTGTGACTGGTTTAAGGAGCCGAGACCTTTGCTTGTTTTACATGGGGTAGATTTTGAAACGGCATTAGAGATTAAAAGTGTGGTATATGTGTTAAAGGGTAAAGTTTCCTTTTTCTCTTCTCTGTAGTAATTTAGTTTGTGTAGCTGTCTTCTGCTCTGTACTAACAGAGATGAAAAGTCAGGGCCTTGCCTTCTCCCATGGAGTGTCTGAGCTGCATATGTTAAAGCAGCCGGGGCTGCTCAGTGAATTCCACCCGTCTTGATATTTCAGATTCCACAGTTGTTTTTTGGTTTCTGAATCCAGTTCAGGGTCACAAGAGAAGGAGGGATCTCTGAGGCTGCATCTTTCTTCCTCCCCACCCTACTAATATCCCCAACTCTCACGTCCCCATAATAAAAAGTGATAATTTATCTGTTCCAAATGCTGCCTGCAGCCCCACTGAGCCCTCAGGTTTTATGCAGGTGCTGTTTATTTTAATTGCAGTCTTGAGAGTAGATAGGTGTTGGATGGATTCAAAGTTCTCAGCTGAAATTCCTGGTGTTTCATCTTCTCCGATTGCCTTTTTTTTTTTTCCTTCTGTAAATGCTGAGGACAGAACTTTTCTGAGGATAAAATGGTGGTGGTGCATGTGCTAGAAATGCAGATTTTCCCTAGTAGTCATAAAAGGAATTATTTAGGTTTACCTGCCTTGGAGGCTGCTTAATGAATTGCATAGTTGGATGCACTGTCAAAGATTTTAGTTCTTGGTTGCAGTACTCCAGTTTATTTGAGCAACAGAAGTGGCACCCTGCCACAGGAGTAAAGAATGCTGTTTCCCCACTAGTATTTGAACAATCTGTAATAGCCATCTGTTATTCTTTTAAACACAAAGCAGTGCAACAGGTGTATTTCTTGGGTTTGGAAATCTTACCAGTACAAGTGGATAATAGAAATTTAAAGCCAGGATTTAAAAGAGGATTTCAAGGTGTCTTCCTCTTTATTCAGCAGATATAGTGGTTATGATATTAGAAAGAAGAGAGAGAAGCTAAACGTATGGTACACAGTTAAGGAAAACAAATGCTGAACTGCTCTTAAATCTGTTCTTTTTCAATGTTTGTCATTTTCTTAGATGGCTTCAGTAACAGATGCCAGATACAGGCAGAAAGATACTTCAGATCAAAATTTTGATTACATGTTCAAACTCCTGATCATTGGCAACAGCAGCGTGGGTAAAACATCATTCCTCTTCAGATATGCCGATGACACTTTCACACCAGCCTTCGTTAGCACAGTAGGAATTGACTTCAAAGTGAAAACAGTTTATAGGAATGACAAGCGGGTGAAACTGCAGATTTGGGTAAGTGCCAGCGTTTTCAAAAATGCTTTATATTAATCCCAGCAAAGATATGACGGTAAAAAATAGCTTGTTTGGAAGTAGATTTTTGGATTAATACAGATTTTGATTGTTCATAAGTTTTGTGTGGCTGTATCATTTGTATCCCTGCAGTATAGCTGAGTAAGTTCTCTTTGTATTGCTGTCTCACTCAACTGGTGGGATTCCTGGTATGGTCTTAAGCAGCTGCTCTGTGTTCTCAGGAGTCAGTGTATTATTAAACTGCAACAAACCCAAAGCAGGTCTGGAGCCCTTTAGTAGCGCTTTTTGAGTGAGCCCTAGTAGGTGAAGAAATTCAGTGAGCGCTCAATGAGAGAACGCTACACATAGCTTCTACTATCAGCTTATGTCCTCCAAAGAAGATACTTGTATCTTCCTGCAACTCGTACCTGCTCAGCAGCGCCAAGCCAGCTTATTTCATCCATCCAGGATTCCTCAGGGGGAAGACAGAGGTATGCTTCAAACCATCTCTGCTGACATGACTTCTTGGTAAATCAAATCGTAAGAGAACTTGTGCAGGTAAGCTGGAGGCTCCCTCTGCTCAAACACCCAGTCATGGGACATTTTCAGCCTTTTTGAATTACAGCATCCTAACCTAGTTAAAAAAAAAAAGTTCCTGAGCTGCAGAGTGGAAGGCCAAGCAATTGTCAGTAGCTCATGATGTTCCTTTTTATGGAAAGCAAGTGTTTTCTTTTATTTTACTTGCTGGCAAATGACTTAAACCCTATGGTGCAAATGCAATTTATCCTGACAGTGCTTAAACCCTCTGTGTCCCAGAGAATTACTCAGTGTGTTTAAAAAAACTAGGCTCAGATTACTGTGTTTTAAAGTACCATGGGGCTCCAGCTGGAATTCCAGTTAGCAGGATTGTTCTCTTCTGTTTTGCATAAAACGAAAAGATCTCAAATAGAAGGTATGAGGCTAATATTCTCTTAAACAATTTCAAAGGAGTTAGCTTACTAACTCAAAGTAGCTGCCTACTTAGTGGTTTCTCCCACAAGTTAAGCTTAAAGTTTAGACTTGAAGGTAAGTTGAAACTGTATAGCATTTCTACCCTAATCCTGCCCCAGATAAGAGCACAGTCTTCTAATTGATCTATATACACTTGATTTATAATTAATCTTTAATTATTGCATTTAAATGTAATATTATAGTAATCACATTGGGTTTTTTAATTTATCGTGACAGTCTTAGATTCTCACTAGTTTATTGTGACTATTCAAGATGAGAAACTTTTATTTCTGTGTTGCCAGGTACAAGATACAACAAATTATTTAATAAAAGATCCTTTTCATGTTGCAAAATTCTGGCATTGAAACTAACATAGATAACCTGACATGAAACTGTTTGATTTAATTTAGGGTTTAGGTAATAAGGATGTTTGTACTTCAGGCCCTGTAAGCAACTAAAGACGATTTCCATCCAGTTTGTCTTTCTTAATCTTGGAACATGAAATTCTGTAATAAGTTGTGTAAAAGCAAGATGGAAAGTGCCATGAAATATTTGGTTGTTTCCCCCCCTCGCCCCTCCACCTACTGGGATTAAAATGAATTAAGCAATAATCTTAATGAAATCTGTTTGAAGGCGTTGGAGGGAAAAAGGCTTTAATAACCTTAAATTCTTATGAAAAGAGATGTCAGGTGGCTTCCTCAGAGGACCTGTAATATTGGAATTACCAACACCACTGTTGATTTAAAATTTCTTTTCAATAAAAGGTTCATGTAAGTGTTTGACAGTTTCCAGAGTGACTCGTGTTCTTTTCTTCTCTCTTTCTGTGCTCCTTGCATGGATCCCTGATGTGAGTCGTGATTTAAGGACCTTAACAAAAACATTAAGTGTGTACCTCTCTAAAAACCACAATATTTGAACTTGTTTACCTCCTGCCTGACCTGAGACTAAACTTGTAATTTCAGTGTATTCTTCAAGATACATGTAGTAGTGGGGGCCATTAGCATACCAAAACTATGCCTTCCTGTGTGTTGGAAGGAAGAGTTTTCTTACCAACCTGTCTTTCAATTACTTTTTAAAATGATTTACAGCCGCTATTGAGTTTCTGTGAGTGTGGGACCCTGTGGCTCCATTGAACACTTCGCTTTTACTTACAACTTCCCAGTTATATTGACTTTTTTTTTTACTTATGCTCCCCCTAAGCTTGATGTTAAGTCTTACCTGAATCAGGTTTAATGTGAAACTAAGTGAAGAAGGAAGAAGGTACAAGTGTTTAAATTAACCACTTCAAATGTCTTTATAAAATCCAGAGAGGAGCACTTCTAGGAACCTCTAATGTTCTCGGCTCTGTGGAGCCAGGTCTCCTTCAGTTCATGGGGGCTTGTGGAGCTCTTAAGTGTATGCAGCTGTGGCAGATGGGAGGTGCTCAAGGGCTGTGCCCAAATAACCTTGGTTTGTGTCCTACAAATCTCAAGGCGGGGGAAGTTACTACTGCTGTGCTGTGATCCAGAGAGATCAGTGATCATTGGGACTTCCTACACTGACTTTTGCCTGTGTTGAACAGAGAAGCAGAATATTTGGGTGTAGGACCCCAGCTACAAAGAGCTCCTTGGGTTTTCTTAAAGCTAAGAAAAATTCACACCGCTTCAAGTGCCAAGCAGCTGCACGTAAAGACTAACAGCATGTTGCTGTGTCAGTAAATGTCTTTCTGATCTATCTTGCAGTTAATATCTCCAGTAGAATTTGATAAGCGTTTTTAAGCTAGAGATCTAGCTTTTGTGTTTGTGCTGAATTTGAGAAAGTCAGTATTTTGTGAATCAGGATTTGACAAGCTGTCAGGTGTAATGATCAAAAAAGAGCGCTGCTGTGTTCAATTTTGATGTCATTAGTGGGCCCCTTGCTTTGTTGACATTAACACTTCAATCACTCAGATTGATATTTTAGTAAGATTCCTATCAGTTATGCTAGTGACCTAGCAGTCTGGGAAATGATCTGCTTTGAAAAGACTTGAAAGGAGTATCTCTTGAGTTTGAGAGGAGTGAGACACAGCAAAGATATTCATGGTGCTTTTAAGGTAGAATGATAGTTCTGCTGATAGAGAAAAAACAGTAAAATGGTCTGGAGAGGGGTTATATGAAATAATGTTTTGTGGTTGGTTTTTTTTTTTCTTTGTTAAAGAACTCCAAGATCAGCTGACTCTGTTTTAATGTCAAGTCTTTTCTGTCTTGTTTAAGAATGGTGGTTTTCAGTAAATTGAATAAATGACCTTTACTGAGAAAGTTCATTTTGTAGTTGGATGAGGTTTGGTAACTTAAACATTTCTAATTTAAAATATTACTTATGTAAATATATTAATATAGTATAAAGATATTCTGATATCTACATAAATGTAATTCTTTGATTAGATTTTTTTTTTTTATGCTACTGCCATCTGTAATAATACTTTCATATAAAGCATCTCCCTTACGATATATTTGTAAGGAGCCGATTTGTAATATCTCTCTGCATGTGGGGTGGACATGTGGATTATTTCTTTCTTGACCAACAGTTTTGTATTCCCAGAGTTGCTAATTACTGAAGGAAAGCTATTATATTTTCAGTTAGGTATGTTTTTTATTATAAATGAATCTCAAAGGTAACATTATTATATTCTTAGCAAATGCATACAGTTAATACTCAATGCAGCGTTCAGGTTGCCTAGCAGCTAGAGAAGGCCACTTTGTCCAGATCCAGATGGAAGCAGGGTGAATGAATAAAAGCGATTTTTGATTTTAAGTGAGAGCAATGTGAGATTTCTTTTTTGCCTTCTTCTGTGTGTTTGTGTGTCTCTTGGTGGTAAGCAGTAATGGTGGTAAGTAGTAATAATGGCAGAACTCTCGAGCAACGTAGCATTGAGGTTAACTGCTGAGGGGCAAACTCTGGTCCTTCACACTGGCCCAGTCTAGGTTAATTCCATGAGCTCTTTGGATAGTAACACAAATTTACTGATGGAAAATCATTGGCAGTGTTTAGCCCAAAACACTTGCACGCTACAACAATTTGCATACCACACTATGTGCTTTGTGTGAGGAATTTCTTTACGCTTTCATTATACTTTTGTACAGCACCCTACACAGTGGAGCCTCATTTTTGTTGCACATACCAAACATATATGTGACGAATAAGAAACATAATTAAATACAGGGTTTGGCAGCTGATGTTACAGTTGCAACTACTTTCAACCCCCTTTTTTTAAAGGCTAATAGAGGTTAAATTTAACTTCAGGCTAAAAGGCAAAAAGGTGTGATGTTCAGATGGAGACAGCATATTTAGACTGCAGTATGATTTTTCTTTTAAGGTGCTGCTTATCAGTTTTAAACTGCTAGGATGAGTATAGGTTTTTCTTTCCCATTAACAAAAATGTTTCCATGGCTTAACTGCTGAAACCTGTAGGGGTCTGAGATTAGCTGTAGTGGATGTCTGAAACGTTACAGCTTTCAGGCACAGCTGGGAAGAGGGTGAAAAGCAACATTACTCTGTTTTTGTGGGAAGGATCTTTACAAACAGAAATATGACAACTGCTAATTATGCTGAGTGGCAGTTACCATTACAAAACAAAAAAAGTGTAAACCAAAATAAAACCCAAGCTGCGTAGCTGTCCTGAAGGCAAATATGCAGTGTTTTTAAAAGCTTTTTGTATCAGTTGTCGCCTGGATGACAGGATGCTACTGCGCTGCTCGCCTCATAGGGAAGGGATTCAAAGAAGTAACACTGGTAACTAAGTTCACTTTTTAATTTAAGAGCGGTAAAATTAGAACACTGTCATACTTGATTGTAAATTTTAATGTTAATTGCACACTTAACGAAAAGCTAATTATGCATTTCAGATGAGAGAATCATCTATTCCCCTGGCATCCCATTCCCATCATGTTTTTGCAAAGTTCCTTATAAGCACTGACTTTAAACTTGAATGCTTGCACAAAACTTGTTTCTAAAAAAAAGAGATAATAAGAGTTCTGTAATTTAATATATAGATG